GATCGGGACCGAAATATAGTACACTCGGAGATGTGCAGTATAACGATACAATCAAAATAAAATTTGTGGTTAATTGGTGATTAGTTAATTGATTTCGAGAAATTGATGTTTTCAGTTGTCTTCTAAGTTCATTTGGTTTACCGTTTACATTTACCCTGAGTTTATCTGAAGTCTGTTTGATGCCGAAAAACAGGCTTCGATAAGGCTATGCGTCATGATAATCCTTTTATCGTTGCCGCCGCTGACTACTCCCCGAATCCTGAGCAGGAGCAAGCCACCGTCGTCGCCCTAGACACGTCCTTACGGATCCATCAGATCCAATAACTCTTCCATTAGATACCTTCAGCGCTAAAACTAGGAGCAGGCTGAGGAACCCCGGTAACCGTAATCGTCGAACTCGACAAAGAGGTCGACCTGCAACCTAACCCATGCATCAGCCCGCTGAGTTTCTGGCCGGATCTTCTCAGTGGGTCGCGATTCCGATCCGGTAGTAGATTCATTCGCGGAGCAATTGCTCTTGAGTTGTTAGGTCTCCTTCGGAGGCGCTCGGGCAGTTGTTAGCAAATCCCATCCCTCCTGGCTGAGCCTTTGCTCGCCCACCTGTCCTGGTGAAGCTGGAAAGGCCTCCGGGCCACCAGTAATCTTTCAATCATAAAAAAAACAGGTACCAATTGACTTCTTAGAGACCAGTATTGTTTCTGTTATTTGTAACAAATACGGTCAAATGTACTAGAAAAATTAGAAAAAAAATTGAACACAAAGTTCCAATTACGTATTAATGCATCCTGAATTAATAACCGTCAGCGGATATTTGAAATGTTGAATCTTTAATATCATTTAGAAATAAACGATCTAAAGATGACAAAAATCTCAAATTATTCGCAAAAAAAATCAATAGAAAATTTATATTTTCGTGAATCACTTTGCTACAAGCAAAGTGATTCACGAAAAAAGGAAATGTTACATATTACGTCCATCGAATTTGACTCTCAAATTAATGTGAAATTTATAATATTAGATAATACTGTACATTTTGCTTTCTATGAACTAAACAAAAACTGGTTTTTTGTAAGCTTCTGTATTGAGGTAGGTGAGAATGACTTTATGGTGTTAATGATTTGCCTGTGTCCTTGGTTTTTATCTAAGATGAAGTCTCATGGCTACGGAAAGTGGAATATCGATGGATCGTTACGGTCTATCGTTGTGATGGTGATGCGAATCATGGCTTCATAAGTGTTTCGGTTCCACTTCGTTTACGGGCTTGGAGGTTGGTACGGGACACTCCAGATACCGACGTGTATATTGCTGTACACGCGTCTTGCAAAAGAGCAACAAGGTCACAGATGACCGCACTACCTGACCTACGCTAATTATGACCTAGTGGCGTATCCTGGAGGTCAGAGCTGGCGGCGCATTTAAGAGCGATTCCGAAAGTTCGCCGACCGACGAGACGTTAGATTAAGGGTCTTGATGCTGTCGCGTTTTCTAAAGAACTCTGAAAGGGAAAGGGGGGAATATCGCGGCTAGCCTGATTGCAAAACATCTACTACCAAGATAATTGTGTAGAAAACTTGCAAAAAGTTGGGTAATATTCCTAAAGAGGGATGATGGAGTAGGGTAATTCGGAAGGAGACGGGCTTTTTCCTATCTAAGCCTTGAGAGGCTATATCAGCGTAACCGAACGAGTAGGTGAGCTCACGGGGCTCAAACCTGGCGAAGTTGCTAACGCTGACCCTAGCAAGAGCAGTGCTTCGCAGAATCTACCACTGGATTAGAAACGCGACCCACTGAGAAGGTCCGGCGAGAAACTCAGTGGGCCTTGTCTGTGGGTTAGTTTACTCGCCGAGCCCTTCGTCGCAAGCGACGGGTTCGACGAGAACGATGACCGGTGCTTGAGGTAGGTACTTAAAATCACCGTTAGTGGATCGGGAGGACCCGAAATGATGTGGAGACGGGCCGTAGAAGTGTTGGCTTTAAAGTAATCATCTACACAAATTATACTTGAGACCTTAGAACTTGTATTTCAAGGTGGGTGGCGCATTTACGTTGTGGATGTCTATGGGCTCCAGCAACCACTTAACACCAGGTGGGCTGTGAGCTCGTCCAACCATCTAAGCAATAAAAAATAAAAATAAATTATTCGTGGTACATCTATTTGCACACTCCCCTTCGAATTATATTTCAAATTTCATTTTTGTCTGAAGTTACTTTATTTTTTCATGTTCATGTATTAATAATGATGATTGGGATTGTTCTTTTTTTATTTAGAGTAGATAATGGCTTATGTAATTCTTGTAAGAAGTACGTAATGCTAATTTCTCGGTTTAATTAACCGTAAACAGATTCGATTGTCATTGAAATTATCTCGAATCGATACTACGACGTTAATGAAGCCAGTCTGAACGTAATGGAGATAATAATATCAAATTTATAAATATTGCAAGTCTGACTTTGCTATAGGAAGTGATGATTCCATTATCGTAAACAGTTAGTGACTACTTTGTTTTCTAGTATGTCTTGTGACAATTGTCGGTAGGGTAGCACCTTCGTAAGCAATGCTAAAGTTATGCTCCATAAACGTTGTTCATTTGATACGATCTAAAATAAAAGTGTTGATCGTAAAACCGGTTACGGAATGAAGAAATTGTATACATATATTACGCGACCTTGTAACAATCTATTTTTAACGTAATATTAAAGTTATCTTAGTTTATAAAATACGTTAGGATTGGTCATTTGAATTTTAGATTCTTACCGAGATATCGAAGTTATTTTCCGACCGCCGATATTTGTCGATCATTTCGATATTTCTTCTGAGTCGGTACCTTCTACGGTACTAGTTCTGAAGGTCGTGTCTAGTTTGATGATAACTGTTCTCTCATTGCAAAATTTCTTTCCACGTGTCTCTTATCTTCGGCTGGCCTAAGTGCTTCAGGTATGAGCATTTCTGTAACTGATGCTATGTATTAGTTTTGATCAACGAGTAGGTGATCCACTACTTAAATTTGGAAGAAGAGGAGGACTTCGGACTTTCTCTTCTCCCTCTTGTTCTCTGGAGGCGTCGGAGTCCGAAATAACCCGGTTTGTTACCCCCTCTCGACCGGGTATCCGTAAACTGATTACCCAGAGTTAAAAAGAAAAAAAAGGTGATCAATCCACTACTTGATCTTTTCTGGTCCAGAATTTTCAGGTTTTCTGGGAGAAATGCATCCTATGTAGTTTCGATCGATACATCAGAACCAAACTGTCACAAGTCGAAATCAGTTTTAAAGAGTAATATCTTATTTTAAATTATTTTAGAAATAGAGAATTTGTTAAAGAGAATACTCGATTCCAAAAATAGAAACAACATTTTATTTGTAACGTTGCCAAATGAATCTGACGATATGTAGTTTTTTGGAAAAAATATATGTCATTGATACCCAACATTTAACTGATAGTTTATAATTTTGTGCACGTTCAATCGAGACTTTTGACGCGTTTTAACACATGAGATATCATTTCTTAGTCGTGAGAGTGATACCGGGTATATTATTTCAGAACGTTGTCCGCGAAAAACTGGTAATCATACATGTAAAAAGGTGTGAACATTAAATAAACAAAAGCGGAGAATAATAGCCGGACTAGGGACAAGTAAAGGAATAAAACAAATTTGTATTATATGCAATTTAAACATTCCTAGCTAAGTTCATAATTTTTATTTTATTTTTTATTGCCCTTGTAGGCAGACGAGCCCACCTGATGGTGAGTGGTTACCGTCGCCCATGGACTTCAGCAATACCAGGGGCAGAGCCAAGCCGCTGCCTAAAGCCAAGCCGCTGCCTAAGCCAAGTCGCTGCCTAAGCAAAGCCGCTGCCTAAAATAACGTGTGGACTGTTCATAATAACGTGTCCACTGGAGAATGGACTGTATCATAATGCGATAAATTAATGAAAGTAATGTCAAGATTTTTTTGTTAGCCTTGAAATTGCCTATCGCCCGTCGCGGGCGCTGAATTCTTCAATTATTCGTTTCATGTTTTTGTGTTAGAAACGTTTTTTATTAGCCGAAATGATGTTTCGAGGTCATCGACCGCTCTCCATTGATAACGTTATACGTCATCGACTTTGTGGTCGGTCTTGTTATAACGAACGGATGTCTTTGCTGTGCAACATTCTTTTGCATTTCATACTAGCGAAATTTTTATTAGTTCATTTTGGCAGTGGAAAGCAAAACTTTTAAATATCTAACGTCTGTTAATTTTATTAAATATTATTTTTCCGGTAACGTTACGTTGTGACGAAGGAAGTTTTGAAGTCAATGAAAATGACTTTAAAAGATTCCGTTACATACATATAAAGCCAATAGAAGCGTCTTAAATGAGTCGCGTAATTGTTGAGTGCATCACCTCCTCCGTGCGTCGTGTTCCTCAGTGCTGAGAATGGGATCCTCCCGATCCACTAACGGTGCTTCTAGGTACTTCAAGCGCCGGTCACCGTTCTCGTCGAACCCGTCGCTTGCGACGAAGGGCTTGACAAGTAAATTAACTCTCAGACACAGCCCACTGAGTTTCTCGCCGGATCTTCTCAGTGGGTCGCGTTTCCGATCCGGTGGTAGATTCTGCGAAGCACGGCTCTGGCTAGGGTTCGTGTTAGCAACGTCGTCAGGTTTGAGCCCCGTGAGCTCACCTACTGGTTAAGGTTACGCTGGAATAGCCTCTCAAGGCGACCAGCTTAGGTAGGAAAAAAAAAAGCTGAGAATCGTGACCTTTACGGAGTACATACGTAAAGGTTTTCTTGGGAAAATTACTAGTGGTGGGTGGCGTCCTTTCACAGCATACTTTCAAAGACGATTTAGTTCCTCTGGGCTACTGAAGCCCTAGTTCAGGTTCACCTTAGCAAGTTAGCAAGTCCTTCCAGGTTGAGCATTGTGAGCTCACTTACCACGCGTAGTTAGAATAGCTCTTAGGCTACCAATGCGAGTATTGCGAGTACTGATCAATATGTGTTTACTCCTTCCAGGTTCGTGAAGGATATAGATGAGGGTTACGTGAGGCACAGGCCGACGGCGCGACTCAGACAGTCCGCGTCTATGGGCGCTTCGTCGTCTTACAATGAAGTAATACCGCCTCCCTTGCCGCCTCCGCCCGTTTCCCTCACCCAGGGCAGACGCGTCGACTCCTCGCTCAGACGGCTGGAGAGGACACACGACGACCTATTCCAGTTGTAGCGGCAGAAACAGCGCAGGTAAACTGACCTAAACTAAAATAATGAGATTGTTTTTTTATTGATAAATTGTGAGAGCTTAGCAGTAGGCATGATGGCCGCGACCACTCTACCAAGAGTGCAAACGACTGAGAAGAAGCAGCAAGTCGTCGTGGTCTAAGCGATAAGAAGTCCGGTGCATTCGTGTTGAGCGATGCACCGGGTATCGAATCTCAGGCGGGTAGCAATTTTTCTAATGAAATACGTACTCAACAAATGTTCACGATTGACTTCCACGGTGAATGATTGTGTATTAAAAATCAAACCCGCTAAATTATAATTTGCGTAATCACTGGTGGTAGGACCTTTTGTGAGTCCGCGCGGATAGGTACCACCACCCTGTCTATTTCTGCCGTGAAGCAGTAATGCGTTTCGGTTTGAAGGGTGGGGCAGCCGTTGTAACTATACTGAGACCCTTAGAACTTATATCTGAAGGTGGGTGGCGCATTTACGTTGTAGATGTCTATGGGCTCCAGTAACCACTTAACACCAGGTGGGCTGTGAGCTCGTCCACCCATGTAAGCAATAAAAAAAAAGAATTGAAGGTGATTCGTATACTTATTCTTATACTCTCTATCAGAATGCCATCCGTATATACACTTAGTCCAACGTTATTCGACCGCGTTTTCACAGATTATTTTTGCTCTTGCCGTTGGGAACCTATTCCCAGCATTTCATTTTTCTAGTGTACGCTTCAAATTAAGCTCTTAATAAAAAGCCCAAAGCTTGGCGATCTGGTGGCCGCTTGGTTTGCAGGTAGGATTTTAGGAGCAGAGAAATCTGTCTACCCTCTTTCTAGTCCGGTTTTGAGTGTTACCACTGGAACTCGATGACTCCCCCTGACAATATATACTTACAATTCGTTAGGTTTTCTATGAAAATCAAGCATGATTGCAACCGGCCTTAAGAGCATTAATATATTTCCTTACAAGTCGCTGTAGCTATCATACAACAGAAGCAATTTGTTAAAAACTCGATTTGCGCTGACCGCATTTTCTTTCCATACATGCGAGCTTCAAACAATATTCGGACCGTCGCGGCGTCGGTTTAGCGACATTCATACATTCATAGCATTCTATTTCTGCCGTGAAGCATTAAAGCGTTTCGATTTGAAGGGCGGGGCAGACGATGTACTATAGAACTGAGACTTAGAAGTCACGTCTCAAGGTCGCCAATGCCGCCACCCGCATTAATGTTGTTAATGCCTTTGGGCTCCGATAACGAGTTAATATCAGATGGGCCGAGAGCTCGTCCGCCCATTTAAGCATTAATAAAAATTAGTGGTCCCCCGGTAGTCGAAATTCGACTATAATTAACTGAAATTGTAAGTTTGTACACTATTATGATTCTATTTTCAAAGACTATTAAACTTCTATAATCACAAATTTCGCCAAGACTACACTATAGAAAAGTATTAATAAAGACAAACAATATTTAATCTATTCTCAATTTGACCACAGACGTCAAGAACAAAAGTTTGACAATAAATAACTATTTAGTATGCATGCGTGTGTGCGTCAAATACATGGTAGTGTGTGTAATGATTGATTTAATGTATTTTTTAGGCATAATTTAAAAAAAATATTAACATTCCGCACTCCTTTTCTATATTCTCTATAAGTGTGGGAAATTTCATACTCCACCGTCCGCGCGATTTTCTTAAAAAGGGATACAAAGCTTTTCCTTCACGTATTAATATATAGATGCTCGATCGTAAACCGTCCTTTTTTCGTTCTTTGTCAGTCTTAAAATTTTAATAAAGAATGGCATCGATATTCCTATTGTAGTCGATGTGCGAACTGGCCTATAGACACAAACCACTGAGTTTTTCGCAGAATTTTCTAAGTAGTTAGAGTCTCTGATCCGGTGGTAGGTTTAGGGAAGCCCTGCTCTTGCTAGAGCCAGTGTTAGCAAACGCTCTCAGTTTCAACCCCGGGAGCTAACCTACCAGGCAGAACGTAGCTGGAATAGCCCCTTAGGCTACCAGCGAATAGGTAGGGAAAAGAAAAAAGAAGGAATTAGTAAAGAAACGTAAGCTGAGTTCCACCTGCGGCCCATTTGCTGTGATCCAGCAAGGGCAAGCACCGGCATCACGCAGAGTTCTTCTTCGGAGCGATTCTACTTTGAAATCGGCGAGGGCCGTTTTCGAATACATTTGAAATTTCGACCTCATTTTTTTTTATTGCTTAGATCGGTGGACGAGCTCACAGCCCACCTGGTGTTAAGTGGTTACTGGAGCCCATAGACATCCACAACGTAAATGCGCCACCCACATTGAGATATAAGTTCTAAGGTTTCAAGTATAGTTACAACGGCTGCCCCACCTTTCAAACCGAAACGCATTACTGCTTCACGGCAGAAATAGGCAGGGTGGTGGTAGCCACCCGCATGGACTCACAAGAGGTCCTACCACCAGTAATCTTTCAAGGTATCTGAGGCCATTCACTTTAAGGAGTCTAGTCGAATGTTCAAGTCTACCCTGCCTAGTGCAATAAAAAAAAATAACACAAAGAAGATACAGTACGCGAAATAATCCAATCTGACCTAACCTAACATTCGACCCGAGAACACCCGATCGAATTGTTTCGTATAAAATTGATTTAAAAAGTAGAGCAATGAAAAGACATACATGTCGTTATTTTTACATCCAGGCCAATCGATAATACGTGTACGGGGCTTATCTGTGTCCCCGGTGAAAACGTAAACCGAACGAGTAGGTTTTATTAACCACTTTTATCCTTGAATAGTTTTTGATCGATACGCGTCCGTCATCTCGACTCGATCAGTGGGTAGACACGTAGCGTGTTGTTAGTCAGTTTTATTGCTGCAACCACGCTATTGACGTCAGCGCGTGAGCTGTTTATTTTATTACATATTTTAGATGTGAAAAATATATTTTGTTTTTGGGCGAAACGCTCGTTAAAAGAGTACGCGGTTTTTCTTTTCTAATGGAACGCATTCTATTTTGCGGAATTTCTTAAATTTTCTTACTAGTGGTAGGCGGACCTCTTGTGAGTTCGCATGGGTAGGTACCACCACCCTGCCTATTTCTGCCGTGAAGCAGTAATGCGTTTCGGTTTGAAGAGTGGGGCAGCCGTTGTAACTATACTGAGACCTTAGAACTTATATCTCATGGTGGGTGGCGCATTTACGCTGTAGATGTCTATAGGCTCCAATAACCACTTAACAATCACCAGGTTGGCTGTGAGCTCGTCTACCCATCTAAGCAATAAAAAAATAATAATAATTGGAAGTTGTTAATTTTACGGAGAAAACGCGTTATTTGTTAGTTTATCTTGTGCCCTACAGATTTAGCTTTAGTTTATTTCTAAACAAGCAAAATTCACTTGCACGAGTAACTGCTAATATGAAAACACATGTATCACATCTACTTCTTCTGAGTCGGTCTCTTCATTGCTGAAGGTCGTGTCTAGTTTGAAACGTTGACCACTCGATGCATTATGCTATCCCACGTCTTCCTGTCCTCGGCGGTCTTTATAGCCTCTGTTATTGGCAGGCCGGTGAGCGTCTTTATTAGATCAGACCAGCGGGTAGGTGAGCGCCCGCGTAATCTTCTCCCATCAACCTGACCAACTACCATAAGCTTCTCTAAGTTATCGGTTTCTCTACGGGCGATTTGACCGAAGTAGCTGAGAATACGTTGGAAGTAGATATGCGTTACATAGCAAAACACAAAGTCATCACAACACTCATATCGTGCGTAGTTCAATAAATCGACCACAGTAAATACAAAGATAGCGCCCAATGCAACTTATATATTAATAAACATCATTTTACTGGAAAAGACCAGCATCCTATCGTCTCAATCCGTATAAAAAAAATGAAATTTTATAATGTACACTTTTATTAGCGGATTTAAATTGTCCATTCGTAATAAATAACTGAACAAATCACGGTCATCCGGCCCCAATCCGGTCACCGTCCTCGTCGAACCCGTCGCTTGCGACAAAGGGCTCGACGAGCGAATTAACCCACAGACACAGCCCACTGAGTTTCTCGCCGGATCTTCTCAGTGGGTCGCGTTTCCGATGCGGTGGTAGATTCTGCGAAGCACTACTCTTGCTAGGGTTCGTTTTTTTATTTTTTTATTTTTATTGCCCTTGTAGGCAGACGAGCATACGGCCCACCTGATGGTGAGTGGTTACCGTCGCCCATGGACTTCAGCAATGCCAGGGGCAGAGCCAAGCCGCTGCCTACCAACGTGTTAGCAACGTATTCAGGTTTGAGCCCCGTGAGCTCGCCTTCTAGTTCGGCGAATCTAGAATAACCCCTCGATGTTACTGGAATAAGTAGGAAAAAAAAAGAATAATGAAGAACCGCTCAGAATTCGTAACGTGAGAACACCGAAATTCATATACATGTCGCACCGTGAGTCTTTTTTTGTGCTCTACGTTTCGCTTGTAACCTAAGGGGCTGTTCCCGCTACGCTGTAGCTAATGGGTAAGCTCGCGGGGCTCAACTGGAAATGGATTACTAAGGCAGGACCTAGCAAGAGCAGAGTTTAGCAGAATCTACCACCGGATTGGAAACGCGACCCACTGAGACCATCCGGCGCGAAACTTAGTGGATTGTGTCTATGGGTTAGTTCGCTTGTCGAGCTCTTCACCATGATCGACGTGTACGCCGGGCATGGTGACCGGAGACACGTGACTTAAAGTAGAATACGTACTTTTGACAATGTTCCGGGCAGCGCAATCAAGCGACGGGTTCGTCGAGAACGATGACCGGTGCTATAAGTGGATCGGGGTGATCCGAAATGACGTGTTTTGGGCGACGTCGACTGCTTTCCATTTGGTCCGCAGGATCAAGAATGTAGTTACCTGTTATTATTCAATACCCAATGGTATATATAGGTACTACTAGCTGTATCCGTCCGCTTCACTGGGCATTTAAAATTAACATTATTTCTCACCCCCACAAGTTTCTGATCATTAAAGCCCCCGCAACTGGTGTAGGGAGTCTATTAATATTAGCCTATCCATTAAGTACATGTATTTTCTACATGAATACCAGGTTTCAAGTCAATCGGATGCATGGTTCAGTAGTTATAACGGAACATCCGTAAAAACCACTGTAGATTTCGTCTCGTAACATTTGAAGGGTCCCTCAGTTATAAATCCCGTGGGTCACATGTTTACCTTTGAATACTGTTTACGTTTTCAGGTATGCGCGACTCGAGTGAATGCGATCCGCTATTGATATCGTATTGATATCGCAGCGGTGTCGCAACGGTCGCCGCGACGATCCGACGATCGCGCAGTCGACCGCCACTAAGCCTAACGGTGAGTCTGGTGACAAGGACTATTGAATTCAACGATAGAATAAATATATAAATATAGTTTAAAAAAAAGCACGCTTCAATGGAAAGCTGTACTGGAAGTGTGTGACCTTGGTCATAGTAAAAAAATCATTGGAAGGGTCTTCGGTCATTGATACCTGAGCAAATATGATCTCCGACTACTTGGAAACGTACGTTGAAAGATTCCGTCACAAATGTACAGACAGGACAACTTAATGAAAGCGTATTAATAAAAACATTGTCGTGTCTAAAGCAAATTTGTATGTTAAAATCAAAATTTCTGTACTGTGATTTTAAATGTTCGTAATGTGAAGATTCGGTATTTATATATTATAATTTAGCACTAGCACCCCTAGTGGTATCCGGGATGAACTATACAGTGTTATAGTCAAAATTGACTTTGAATGTATTTTCTAATTTTATTAATATTACGGTTTTACATAACAATAAAACCGATATTATGTGCCGAGAAGGAAAACATACAGCAGGTAGGTTCCCTAGACACTGTTGAAGTGAGTCAGTACTCTGGGGAGAAGGTTGAGAGGAGGAATTCTCCATGCTAGTTGCATCCTCTACGGTATGCTGAAGGTCCAATCTTGGTCGGCGAATGGGTTTATATCCGGATGACCCCACTTTCGAAAAACTTTTGTGGTCGCATGTGGTAAAAAGTGCCATTTCGCAGGTTGATTTCCTCGTGATAGCCTGTCGGCTACGATGTTGTATCTCCCCGAGAGATTATAAGCTGACAGTTATCTTGAACTTATCGCTTAGGTTTAAAAATCGAAAGGTCAACGCTAGTGAAATACTTTCAGATTCATTTTGATTGTCACTACCATTGCAAATAGCTCTTTTGTGGGTGAGCAGTTTCTGTTGTTGAGCTGACCACAGACAGGACGTTAATATTTTGTCTAATTGTAACCCCTACCCATGTCAGAAGCTTTCGTTGCCAGGAAATGGTTGGTTTTGTGTCTCGGCAATGTTTGACATGTGGCTCCGCATCAGCACTGCATTTGTAACCCCTACACATGTCCGAAGCTTCCGTTGCCAGGAAATGGTTGGTTTTGTGCATCGGCAATGTCTGACATGTGGCTCCGCGTCAGCACTGCATTTAATTGTTAACACATGCAGGATGGCCTGTTTTTTACGGGGGTGTTTGTTCTTGAAACTTCGCAAGAAAATTTGCAAGTTAGCATAGATTGATGTAATTCCGTCAGAGTTTGAGCTAGGATGTTGTTGAGTGGCCACTATTTCTCGCAATTTTCCATCGAATCCCTAGACATGTCATCTCTTGAACCAGTGTACTAATTGATTGATTTTGTAAGGCAGACTTGGCAGCCCAAATAATCCAAGAGCTTTACAGCTTATGTGGCCTGAAGACTCAACTTGGACTTCTTTTGATGGACCTGGTGGGATTTGCGTAGGTGGGATAACACTCAACATCCCTTTGCACGCAATGTCTCCGCGACCGAGCATGCTATGCAAGCAAAAAAGGTGTATTTGTCTTCATGGACCAAGAAAAAGTCGCGTAGGTAGGTTAACATTTGACTTCCCTATGTACGTAAGGTCTTCGCGACCGAGCATGCTATGGGAGCAAAAACGTTTATTTGTCTTGGTGAAACAAGATCAAGTCGTGTAGGTAAGCTAGCACTCGACTTTGCACGCAATATCTCCGCGACCGCGCACCCTATATAATGGAAATTGACATGCCAGCCCAGATAATCCAAAAGCTTCACAGCTTCTGCAGCCTGAAGTTTCAACTTGGATTTGTTTTGGTCGACCAAAAGGAAGTCGTCTAGGTAGACTAGCACTCGAGTTCCCTTTGCACGCAAGGTCTCTGCGACCCGCATGTTATAGAAGCAAAAAGGTGTGGCTCTGAAGCCAGACCGAAGGGTAGGCACGTCATTTCATACTAACTCATAAGAAGGTACCGATTCCTTCCTGAAGGTACTGATACTGGTACCTTGGTACTGATCCTCAAGAAGTATCGACGAAATTTTGCGACTGATACTAGAAAAATATTCCTGAGAAATGTTCAATTCTATCATCCAGTCCCCTGGGTGGAGAAAGTTTGGTACCGAGGTGTCCGAAAACAGTTAGGTGTTTTATCAGGTGTTTTATCTTTACGACCTTGTTCAACTCTCGAAGATCGAAAATTGGACGCATTGATCCGTCGCTTTTCTTCCGCAGAAAAATGTTTTTTTTTTGTTTTTACGGTATTTGGTAACCATACATGGTTTACAAATTATTACAATTTTGGTGGCACTCAGTGCCTTCCGTCGGTGTCTTCAATTGCCCCCCTCTGGATTGTGCCAGATGTTACGGACTATGATTGTTTATAATGTTTGGCTTGCCTTTTGTACCAGGTCGTGAAAAAATAGGATTGTAGCCCTCCGAGGGACTGAATAGATTTCAATTTAGTATTATCAAACAAAAATTCCTCAATGAGTGGTGCGGTGGCAACAGGATACTTTGTTAGAGACCACGGAAATTAAACTTTGACGTCTTATTTCTATCCATACGGCCCTTTTTTCCGTATACAATTTAAAACGCTTTTACGGGTAACTTGTACGACGGAGACGATTTGCCAAAGTTTTCAGTAATTATGTTACAAAGATTATTAGTTTAAATCTGTTGTGTTTTTGTCAAAATTTCCGTATTGACGAGATCAATTTGTTTACAACAATTTTCGTTACATTCAATTGTTACACACAGTTGATGCTTTATTACATTTACAACGTCACTGACCTGGTGGGATAACGAGCCGATTCGAAGATCGACCGTTACCTTTGAATCCCGTCGTTTCTTACGCAGAGACTCCTTTTGTTCTTTTTCGCTTGACGAACTGTTCGAACGCAGGCGTCTCCATCGCGTCTCGCCTGGACATCTTCCCTCTCGGAAATTATGGAGCTTGACTCAACATCACCTCCAACAGATGACGCGTGATTCATGGCGTCCGATGATAGGATTGGTAAATAATACTTGTAATGATTGCAAAATAACACTCATAGAAACACAAAATAAATATTTTTTGCAATTAATAAGAAGTCGAATAAATATTTGTGGATTTGCGACTTCACAGTACGAAAGTACACAACGCTATGAAGATCAAAGATGGCTGCGCTTCCTTTATACTTGCTGGAAGCACCTAGCGGCTAAAGATGGAACTAAATTGACTGTCTATGGTTGGACATAGACAAGGAATTTAAGCTAAGTACACACTGCTTCTTCATAATACAATGCTGTATGTTTTCCAAAGGCACATCAATAAATAAATAAAATATGAGTTCATACAGTTGAGATTATCGGAACATGTATCGAGGGGTGAAAGGCAATTTTTATTAAGCGACATTTGGCTTGATACGCGACATCTTTGTAATTAAATGTGCGTTTTATTTGGTACTAGCGACCCGCCCTCGCTTCACTTCGGTAATATTAAATTTTATTATTGATAGCTTGTCGTACCGCGGATGACGCTGTGGGGCGAGGCTAGTCTAAAAAAAGGTAGCCTAAGTAACTCCTTATATCATAAGCTACCTATCAGTGAAAGTCTCGTCAAAATCGGTCCAGCCGTTCCAGAGATTAGCCGGAAAAAACCGACAGCCAGACGACAAAAATTGTAAAAAATATATTTTGGTGTATACCAGTACTGTATATATTATATTCATATATGCATGTAGTAAAAATCGATTATTTAAATATTACAAACAGACACCCCAATTTTATTTATATGTATAGAATACGAGTAGCATCAACAGTTCTACATAAGAATGTAGAACTGTTGATGCTACTCGTATTCAATTAAGAAATTGAATTTCAATTAGGTTTACTTCATTCAATAAATAGCTAAAGAAGTTGTTTTTTTCGTAATGATATTTTTTCCAAATTATAAACTTTAAATGGTTCTCCTGTAAAGTTGCAAAAATGTCGTTTAAACCAAATAGCCATTCACTCCTCGATATGGTCACTGACTCTTCGGATGTGTTAACGTAGTCTCGGTGTTTCCCGAGCGCTATGACATGTCCTTCTTCAAACGAGGCTTGTGGAGAGTATTAAGCGGTAGGCAGCGGCTTGGCTCTGCCCCTGGCATTGCTGAAGTCCATGGGCGACGGTAACCACTCTCCATCAGGAGGGCCGTATGCTCGTCTACCTACAAGGGCAATAAAAAAAAAAAAAAGATAAATTACTAAGGCAATATACATGTTGTTGTTTAATCTTAAGGTATATTTTAGTGTATGACAATCGTCTTTTATTGTTACACGGAATTTGTTTTTGAAGTTAATAAAGGATTATCGTGTTAATTTTGAAGTACCCTCTTTATTTAAGCGGCTTAGTTCGATTATCGAAGACTCACGTCACATTGTGAACAGTACATTGCCTTTTTAGTATTGAATCTACGATTGTACTGATACAAGGTTCGTTCTTAAAACTAGAGAGAATTATTTTACTAAAAGATTTAACTGCAGTTGAAGTATGATAGTTATGATGGCGTTGGGTACCGTAGATTGGGGGGAATCGGGACCTTTTCCAATTCCTACACAAATTTTCAATGGTTTTTCTTAGGGTAACACTAATAAAATTAAATTTTTATATGCGATGCGTTATTATACATAATTCATTAAAAAATATACACAAAAACTGAAAAAACTAGCTTGACCCGATTGACCTTGGCTTTGGGGTGAATCAAGTTACGTATGTATGGGGACAATAGTTTTTTTCGTTTTCGATAGGGCTAGCACTTTTTACTTGTTAGGTAGGTACCTAACTTTGGGTAATTAACTTTTTAATATCTTTAATGAGTTATAAAACTTTGATGACTAAATTAATTAAACACTAAATAAAAGTCATTTTCAGTTCAACAAAGTTAAATCTAAAAACTCAACAAAAGTATTGTGACATTCCAGATTTGTCCCTATTCTCTATTACTCTAGTCTCTATTCCCCCATTCTACTGTACCAACTTGTAAACTTCCAAAATGAAAAATATTCTTGGATGTGCTTATTGAAAAAGAAGGTTTATTTCCAAGTTGGAAGTCCTCGTGGCTTGAAGATTAAAACGCACGGCTTACTCGTATTGAGAGAAGTGATTGTGACGAAGAAGGTATAATATCAAATAAAAAAATAAAAAAAATTATACAATTGAAAAACAGACTTCTAGTCTCAAGTTAGATGGAATTCAAGTTATGATCTGTGTGGGCTATGCTAATCACTTACTATTAGGTGGGCCGGTATCTCGTTCACTCAACAATGCAATAAAAAATAACCCAAAACAACCAATAAAGATCATTTTTTTGTTTTGCCAAAATATGTTTAGAACCAAGTTCAGTTATATGTATGTATATAAGATAGTTATATCAAAGTTAAAATTGTATAATAAAAAATAA